TCATCGTCTCCTTGATTTCCTAAATTTTCGATTTCGGCTTCCACATTAATAGTCTGATCTAAAGATGGCTGTGGTTTATCTGTAACAGCTGATGCCAAAAAATCATCATCTGTATAGATGTCTCTATTTATTGGCCAAATTCCAGTACATCTGAATCCATTTACAATATTATTGGGAGTGAATGCTAATGGATACGCTCTACCCAGCAAACCAGCAACTTCATAAATTGTTATGGTCTTTCCAGGATTCATGACCATCCAATCATTACAAACTTTATTGAAATTTGTCTTCAAAGACTTGTATACCGTTTTATCAAGCGGCTGAAGTTTTCCACTAGTGTGAGGTGGTAGGGTCAAAAGAATTATACCGTTGCTTTTACAAAATTCTAAGGAATCAATGGGCCCCGCACAAATGTTTATCTTCCTCCCTAAAGTCCAAAAACATTGATTAAAGGTCTAATTAAAGAGAAATATTGTTTTTAATATATTTTGGGGGAATTTTTTTTCTTATGTTGGTAATTGTTGATTTTTGCTTCGATTGGTCAACCTGTCGTTTTGCATTGAGCTTATGGCATTCAAAATGGCGGACGGCTTCCTGTGCTGCTGGCGGTTGCGGATTTTTGGCTTTTTTTCCGAAAAATATTTGGTAAATTGATTGTTTTACTTCTGTATGCAGTGTAGTGATGTGTCTGCTATATTTGTGTGTTAAATTTGTGTTTCTAAAGTTCCGCTTTTTGTGTTTTTCAGGCCTTTTTGTGATTTTGGGGCCCTCGATCGTCGTCCTGGAGCTTCGTGTGGCTGTTCCGTAGGTATTTGCGTCTGTATTTCGTTGCCCAATAAAGTTTCGAGCGTTTTTTGTGGTTTTTTTCTCGCGCGTACGGGGGCCCTACCGCCCCGCTCCCCCCCCCCTCCCCCCCCCCCCCCCCGTACGCGCCGCCCGACCCTTCGCCTAAAGGCTAACCCAAGAAAATTTTTTTTAATTTCCCCCCTCCCGCAGAATTGGTTACCCCTCGCCCTCAGTTCTTAGACTTTTTCTTAGACAGTTTTTGATGTCATATTTCAAATTTTTAATCGACCAATTATTCGATTTATATAGAATGCAAACTATTTTATAGTTGGATCGAAAATGGCCATGGACTAATAATGGCGATTTCTTGTAGTTGTATAGAATGCGTATTATTTCGTATGTCAAACATACGTCAAATCGAAATTGGACGTGAAATAATAATGGCGGTGGTCCGCCATTTTTTTTTCAATTCTCGTTTCTATTGTTCGATTACTATTTGAATCGTTTATTGTAAACTATTCGATTGTATTATTTTGAAAAATAATACTTCTTTTTGTTGGTTGAATGGTATGATTGTCAATAAAAATAGTTCCGTCTCTATATTATATATTTGCTTCTTTCTTTGATAATAGACGTGTTAGGTATATTATGGAAGTAAGTAAATTAATGGTTGTTTTTTGGGGCTATAATATTAATTTTTGGATATCTTTTAGCCTTTTTTTCTTTAAACGTGTGTGTTTTGTTTGTTCTCTATTTATATATTTTTTTTTTATTTCAGAAATTCGTTCGTAATCCGAAATTATACATGAGAAAGAATTTGAAGAAGTCATGTCCAGAACATTCGTACGTCAGTCCTATAATATAATAATATATATATATACCTGTGGACTGATCGTGTCTACTGACATTGTACTAAGAATTTAGTAAGTATATTAAAAATTTTGGTTGGGGGAGTTATGATGTCATTTATTGTATTTTGCTTTATAATTTTTTTTTGTTTATTTCAGAAAATTCCATTCCAATGACAGCAAGGTAATAGTAGTCTTTTAAGAATTTGTTTTCAGGAAAAAAGCTGTATCTATTGTTTTCTTTGTAGGTGCTGATTATTGCTCTTTGATCATGATCGAAAGAAGATCCATTTGGGATTTATTTTTTTATTTTTTGTTTTTAAAATAATTGTTTTTATAATAAATCCAACGAAATGTTAGAGGTAATTTCTTTATTTTTTATCCATCGAATAATTGTCGTTTGAGAATTTTCATCTTATTTCCTAAAATTTAACTTTTAGAAACTTTTTTTATGTCTTTAATACTTTAAATATGTTCAATAATCACTAAAATGAGCTTTAAAATTTTTTATGTAAACCAGGTTGGAAATTAATTTTTTTTATGTTTCGAAGAATTCTCCTTTAAGAGTTTTCATTGAAGGTCTAATTTCTAAAGAAAAATCGCACAAATTTTTTGAATTAATTTTCTTTTTTATTATCACATTCTGATTTAAATGTCGTAATTAGTTTATTATTTGGTAAATGAATTTTTTTCTGAATATTTTTTTCTTTTTTAAAAGTTATTATTTTTGTTTTGGCTTATTAAAAAAAAAGTCACAAGGTTTAATAAAAATATTTTAATATATTCATTGTAATATGTAAAATTTTAAAAATTAACATAATATAGACATAATACATAAGAAAATATATATATTAAATTCATTTCAGACGTTAAAAATGGAGTAGGTGTTGAATAGGCGTCGGTTTTGAACTGGCGTCGGTTTTGAACTGGCGTCGGTTTTGAACTGGCGTCGGTTTTAAATTGGCGTCGTTGTTTAGCAGTTGTCGGCGTCGTTCTAAGAATAATAATTTTATACAAAAGGAAGCAAATGAAATAAAAGCGGTCCAATAAAGTATCGAATGCCAAAAAATATGCGTCAGATTGGAGGCGTCGCCGTCCACATAGGCATATCTACTTAAAGGTCTTTAAGAGAAGAGATATTACCTGCAATAATTTATTCATCCCATAATATCGTTATTCTTACATACATTATGAAATTTAATGTAATAAAATTCAGGTTTTATAGGGAAATAATAGTCATTAATCTTTAAATTACGGTTCTAAATTAATAAAAAAAATTATACATACCTGAAGTCTTTTACTGGAAAATTTCCAAAAAGGCAAACTTAAAAAATGGATTTCTTGGAAAATTGTAAAAAATTGGAAATTTTGAAAAAATTGGAAATTTTGAAAAAATTGTGAACTAAGTGGAATTCTTGATAAAATGTAAACTTAATAGTGGAATACTGGATTGTTTGTACAACCATACCTAAAACAAATAATATAATTAAAAAAAAAAAATCTAAATCAACATTAAAAATTACATACATCTTAGGACTTCCTTTTATGGATTTTCATGTGATTCAGAATTGCAATTTTCATATCGAATTTTTTCGAACAAAAGCAGCAATCTAAATCTCCTCTTCTTGTGTGAGTCCTGCTATGATTATATAAGTTAATGTAAAGTGGAAAAATTTGAAAACAGATTTTACACTTATATTGTGCTTCGGAATTTGTCGAAGAACGATTAGAAGCTGAATTATTCGGAGGAAATCCAAGAAAATCATCACTATCAGAATCTTCCAAATTTATGTTTTCTTTTGACAAGGGTAAAACTGAAAGCGATTCTGAAGGAGTCGCTTCCAGAACGTGTGTAGACTTTTCTTCATTTGCAGTACTACTATGTGCAGGGCAGTTTAACATCGAAACGTCCAGACTACTCGTTCCTTCTGCCGTTGCATTAAAACTGCTTCTTCGAGAATCGTCGATAGAAGCATCATCATCATCTGGATATAATATTTTCACATATTTTTCTGTTAAACTTCTCCTAAAGTACGACGAAATATCTAAGTCTACCATCGCATAATAGGCTAAAAGAAACATTAAGAAATTAGATATTTAAAAGAAAATAAGCAAAATTTACTCACCATACAACGACATATCATCCCAACACTTAAATGGGTTTTCCATACTTTCAAATAATTCGTTAATGTTATCTTGCTTTGGATGACTTTCGAAAAAAGCCGCACAATTTAGGAAAAGTTTTTTTATTTCTGTTCCAAGGAATGACTCTTCGGTACCTCTAATGTTTTCTTCTGTAAATTCTTTTTTGTAATACCAAAAGAGATGAAAGAACTAAAAAAAATATATATTTGTGATAAAAAAAAAATATTAAAAATATATATTCAATACTAACATTTATTTTGCTCAATGCATGGAGGTCGTTGATATGGCTCAACCTTTTGTTTATTCTTTCGAAGTTTGGCCTATAGTAGATAAAATGATTCTTTTTCAAAATTGATTTAAACCCTCCTTCGAAATTTCCTTCGGTATGAAATAATTCTTCTAATATTGATATTACAATTTTTAAGAAACTGTTAAAAGTAATCCTTTTAGATCCCACTGCATAATGTAATTGAAATATTGTTTCCAATTTATTACATTTGGTACAAGCCATTTTTTACTAAAACAGAATATTAAATTAGCAAAAAATTGGAAATATTTGAAATAACACAATTTAAATTTGGATAATGACTATTATTTCCCATACCATTTTGTAGAAATATATTTTTATCAATAAAATGAAACATATGAGAAAAATTTGTACTTTTATTTTTACAAGGTTGAAGAATTTGCATGTGCTAAAAAATAAATCCATTTTAATATTAAACATCCTTTACAATTTCGAAACAATATTAGGCAAATAACATTGCCAAAAATGTTTCATTAAATATTTAATATTATAATTAATTAATAACTTATTTAACTAGATGGATTTGAAAAAAAAAAAAGAAATCTTACCCTTTCTGTTGAGAAACCATACAGCAAATGAATAAGATATTTCTTTTTATCCCTTCCTAACCGTTTTTAATTTGAATTGAAAGGTGTCAAATTATTCATAGATATCCATCGGAAAATAGATTAATTTTGCTCGTCATTTGTATTGGAATAAGTCAAATCAATACAAAAAATATGTTTATCTCTTTTTAACACAAAACAATGAAAGAAATAAAAAACCCAATTGGTATTAGACCAAATAAACAAATATTTGCAATTTTGCCAAAAATTATTTAGATGTTTTAAAAAAATAATTATGTTTTAAATAAAGAAAAGCGAATAATTATATGAACTAATGTTAGTTAATTTAATTATGTAAACTTTATTTAAATTCAAAAAAGGAAATATTTAAAAGTAATTCAGAGGAGCGTTCTTTTTACTTTTTTTCATTGGAAAAACTAATATTGCAAATTAATTCTAGCAATGTTATATAATTAATATATATATATTTAAGTCGAAGAAAAAATTTCTATTTTCTAAACGGTTTACTCAAACATATTCAACCGCATATCGGATTGGTTCCAAATGACGTCGCCAGAAAGAATTCGATCCTAAAAATTTTGTGCGATCGTTTTCGCGTTGTACCGAGAAACTCATTTCTAAGTCGAAGATAAAATTTCCATTTTCTAAACGGTTTACTCAAACATATTCAACCGCATATTGGATCGGTTCCAAATGACGTCGCCAGAAAGAATTCGATCCTAAAAATTTTGTGCGATCGTTTTCGCGTTGTACCGAGAAACTCATTTCTAAGTCGAAGATAAAATTTCCATTTTCTAAACGGTTTACTCAAACATACTCAACCGCATATCGGATCGGTTCCAAATGACATCGCCAGAAAGAATTCGATCCTAAAAATTTTGTGCGATCGTTTTCGCGTTGTACCGAGAAACTCATTTCTAAGTCGAAGATAAAATTTCCATTTTCTAAACGGTTTACTCAAACATACTCAACCGCATATCGGATCGGTTCCAAATGACATCGCCAGAAAGAATTCGATCCTAAAAATTTTGTGCGATCGTTTTCGCGTTGTACCGAGAAACTCATTTCTAAGTCGAAGATAAAATTTCCATTTTCTAAACGGTTTGCTCAAACATACTCAACCGCATATCGGATCGGTTCCAAATGACATCGCCAGAAAGAATTCGATCCTAAAAATTTTGTGCGATCGTTTTCGCGTTGTACCGAGAAACTCATTTCTAAGTCGAAGATAAAATTTCCATTTTCTAAACGGTTTACTCAAACATATTCAACCGCATATCGGATCGGTTCCAAATGACGTCGCCAGAAAGAATTCGATCCTAAAAATTTTGTGCGATCGTTTTCGCGTTGTACCGAGAAACTCATTTCTAAGTCGAAGATAAAATTTCCATTTTCTAAACGGTTTACTCAAACATACTCAACTGCATATCGGATCGGTTCCAAATGACATCGCCAGAAAGAATTCGATCCTAAAAATTTTGTGCGATCGTTTTCGCGTTGTACCGAGAAACTCATTTCTAAGTCGAAGATAAAATTTCCATTTTCTAAACGGTTTACTCAAACATACTCAACCGCATATCGGATCGGTTCCAAATGACGTCGCCATAAAGAATTCGATCCTAAAAATTTTGTGCGATCGTTTTCGCGTTGTACCGAGAAACTCATTTCTAAGTCGAAGATAAAATTTCCATTTTCTAAACGGTTTACTCAAACATACTCAACCGCATATCGGATCGGTTCCAAATGACATCGCCAGAATGAATTCGATCCTAAAAATTTTGTGCGATCGTTTTCGCGTTGTACCGAGAAACTCATTTCTAAGTCGAAGATAAAATTTCCATTTTCTAAACGGTTTACTCAAACATACTCAACCGCATATCGGATCGGTTCCAAATGACGTCGCCAGAAAGAATTCGATCCTAAAAATTTTGTGCGATCGTTTTCGCGTTGTACCGAGAAACTCATTTCTAAGTCGAAGATAAAATTTCCATTTTCTAAACGGTTTACTCAAACATACTCAACCGCATATCGGATCGGTTCCAAATGACGTCGCCAGAAAGAATTCGATCCTAAAAATTTTGTGCGATCGTTTTCGCGTTGTACCGAGAAACTCATTTCTAAGTCGAAGATAAAATTTCCATTTTCCAAACGGTTTACTCAAACATACTCAACCGCATATCGGATCGGTTCCAAATGACATCGCCAGAAAGAATTCGATCCTAAAAATTTTGTGCGATCGTTTTCGCGTTGTACCGAGAAACTCATTTCTAAGTCGAAGATAAAATTTCCATTTTCTAAACGGTTTACTCAAACATACTCAACCGCATATCGGATCGGTTCCAAATGACATCGCCAGAAAGAATTCGATCCTAAAAATTTTGTGCGATCGTTTTCGCGTTGTACCGAGAAACTCATTTCTAAGTCGAAGATAAAATTTCCATTTTCTAAACGGTTTACTCAAACATACTCAACCGCATATCGGATCGGTTCCAAATGACGTCGCCAGAAAGAATTCGATCCTAAAAATTTTGTGCGATCGTTTTCGCGTTGTACCGAGAAACTCATTTCTAAGTCGAAGATAAAATTTCCATTTTCCAAACTGCTACTAATAGAAATTTTTTTTATGTCTCAAATACCTTTAATATGTCCATAAATCACGAAAATCAGCATTAAAAATTTCTATCAGTAGCAGTTTAGAAAATAATTTTTTTTTGGAATCGAAGAATTTTCGATTCAGAATTTTCATCCTATTTTCCAAACTGCTACTAATAGAAATTTTTTTTATGTCTCAAATACCTTAAATATGTCCATTAATCACGAAAATCGGCATTAAAAATTTCTATCAGTAGCAGTTTAGAAACTAATTTTTTTTTGGAATCGAAGAATTTTCGATTCAGAATTTTCCAGTGTTTCCAGTATGAGAAGTATGGGCGCCTCTTTAGCAGCTTTTACAAAACGTTGGAAATGTTTTAAAATATCCACGAAAACTTCTCCATTGACCCATCCAGTTTTTGCAGCCGAACCCCCAGTTCCCGGAGGGGCTCCTGTTAACATTCTATCTTTAAAATGTACGCGTGGGAACACCAAAAATGGAGGAACCGAATTTCCGGTTGCATTAATGAAACAACAAGCAGTCACCAATACACCTCTTTCGCCAGATGTTACTTGTCCAATCTGTTTTAAGCCTCTTTGTCCAATTATATTTGGAGGATTATGTACCGTTGTTAGGGCTGTTTCATCCAAATTATATATATTTTCTGGAAATGGACCGTTTGGAAATTTATCGTATGCTTTGTATAAATTATTATAAAATTCGTTTACAGTAGTTCGATTGAAACTTGTTGCTCGCCCAAGACTTGTGGCTTCAGGTTTTCTAAGTGATAGTTCTGGATAACGCTTCATGTAACCATATAACCAATCTATTCCAGCTTGTTGACGTCGTTGCCACGAATCTGGAATTTTCAAATTATTTCTTATGGCAAGTTGGTATGCTAGATCCATAACATTTTTTCTTGTTAATCCATGGTGCATTTTGCAAGCTTCAATGAGGTAAGTCTTCAAAACATCCTCTAAATCTTTGGGAAATATTTGATTCACTTTATAATTTGGCTCAAACCTGAAATTTTCCCTATTTTCTTCTGAACACTGTTTATATTTGTCCACATATCTTTTTAAGGTCATATGTACCAAATTTTCAGATGCAGCAACTGACCTGATCGATTTTCCATTATTAATAACTTCCAGCACTGCACGCTTCATTGTTTCTCCATCAAATATAGCAATTTTTTTTTCTTCCTTTCGGTTTCGCACCATTTTGAAAATTTTCTTAAAATAAATAATAAAGAAATGTTTTAGAAACAAGCAAGTCATCATCATTCTCGCAATTTAAATGTTTTTTAAAATAATGGGGTACAGTGTTACACTGTCACACTGTGCCCCACTGCTGGCTGTAACACTGCGCCCCATACATCGATTTCACAAAGAAATTGGTCTCACATCAACATCAATTTTTTTTAGGTTAAATTTGGCACTTTATTAGAGCTATATCATCCTACATTAAAATAATTCTAACCAAATAAATTCTGATATGAACCAGTTTTGAGTAGAAACAAAAATTAGTAACTGTCCTTATTTTACATTAGGGTTATAAAAATGAATACTTACCGATGAAACAATCAAAACACTTCCGAAACTGATGCAAACACATCGGGGCATCGAACGTAACTGTAACTAGCTTTGACTTGAATAGCACCGGCGTTATTCGAGTAATGACGTTACGGCATTAAGTTTAACACTGTACCCCGTGTAACACTGTACCCCCTCTTCCCCTACCTATTATTGCTTACTGACACTATCAGTAAGCGCTTACAGGGGTAGCTTTACTTTTGTATTCCTCTGAATTAGTCAAAATCAAACTCATTACAGTTATGGCATTTTTTAAACTGTAACGCTTACCAAAAGTGTTAAAAATTTCAAATAAAATCAAGTTTTCGTTTTTTAAATTTCATAAACCCCTTTTTGCACGCCGCTGGTGTTGACCATTTTCTTTACACGTTATTCCTTGATGCAGTTTAGTCGGTATCTGTTATTCTTTAATTAAAAAAAGGCTAATTCTAAAAGAAATATGGAATTTCATAA